AGTCTCCATCTGCCAGCAACTGTCTTCAGCTACTCGCTGCTTTTCCAAACTGCCCTGCTTATCCCACATGTGCACACTTCTCTCCTGCTGGGATCTGGCCCAGACAAACCTGACAATACCTGAAAGTGCCACCTCCACCAGCACTTCCTCCGCAGCTGCTTTCAAGGATTTCTCTTCAATTTGCCAAGGAAATGTTTCCAGATCATACTTCCATCTACAAGTCAGAACACCAGCCTGCACCAGGACTCCTGCTTGTTTTCCCTGTACTTGCTGACAGGAGGTGCAGAGGCAGGATGTCAGCACTTCATCACCAACAGCCTTAACGGGGGAGGACTCCACTTTTTAACCTTGGAAGAAGAGCAGCTTCTCCTTTTCCTCTCCTGTTTTTTGGGTTTAGTTTTTTTTTACCTTCTGAATAAAAGAACACATGTGTAAATTGAAATAATCTGAACCCAACTTTTAAGAAGACTGACACCTTTGAGCAGCTTCCTCTTAACCCTCTCTCCATGTTGGAGGAGTGGCCAGAGGAAGAGTTACCAGCCCATCCTGGCTTCCAGAATGGCACAGCTGGTGGTTAGAGATTCATCTTCCAGTTATCTAGAATATGCCCAAACTTGTTCTGCCCTTCCTAATTCCTAACTCAGACCAATGGCTCCAAACCCAGCATCTGGGAGGCTGATTAGGTTGGCAAGAACATTTCCCTGTGTAATAACAGTGTGGGCACAAGGACTGGGAGTGTGTCATAAGAAATCTCACTTGCATACATGGGGTAGGAGATAAAAAAAAACACAGATAAGCAGAAAATGCTTGCAAGGAAGAATTGGCAGCAAATATGTCAGAAGATTAGTGCAGGTACTATCAAATACAGGAGAAAACATGATGAAAGGAGTAACTCGTGACTCTTTATCTGAGCTATGAAATGAACAGTAACTTCAGCCACTGATGAGAGATTTTTTTAAATATAGAAGTGAGTTTGCAGTTGTAGCATTTTCCACATTAAAGCCTACAGCTGGTAAATAATAAAATAAGCAATTAACAAGCAATCAAGCTTGCTGCATGAAAACCTCTCAAACAGGCTGCTTCAAACAACAACAGTCTTCTTGCTCCCCTCCTTCCCCCAAGCCCCAAAACTTCACCACATCTCAGGTCTGTACTACTAACACACATCACTTGGCAGAGGAAAGCCACACAAAACAAAAGATAAAGAATAATTACTTGTTTTGGTAGGTACTGATGGTCACGTGTGTTGAATGGGAGGTCCCAAGAGGAGTGTCAGCTTGGTGGATGGTCCCTCTTGGCAAGTACAGTAAGTCACCTGGCTGCAAGAAAATTGATATATTTAGGGCACCAGGTCAAACCTTATTGCAGTCAGAGAAAATACTCTCTGAGCAGACAGTCTGACAATAGATATCCTTTAGAATCACAAAATGGAGCAGTCCTGCAATGTACACTTTAAGAACATAAAGAACACTAAGCCAGAAGTTCAGAACCTTAAACTTTCCAACCTGCTGTCAATATTTACTGAAAACGTGAAACAAGCTTTTTAACATTACAGAACACACAGACTCCCACTGAGCTGCATGAAGAGGACAAAGAAGCAGCTGAGATGGACCTGCTGGCAACACAGTGGGCTGGCAGAGGAGCAGTGAAACGGGGATTTGGTCAGATCACATCAAAAGAAAAGGCTAGTATTCCACGAGAAAAGCCAAAGATTCTATAAAAATGGTAATCTGTTACAATACTGTTGTCTGAGATTTTCAGTTAAAGCACTTAAAAAACAGGTACGACCTTCCTCCTCCTCCTCCCTATCTTTCTTCTCACCTATGTAAATTAAAACTCCACACTGAAAAAAAAAACTAGATAAGGAAAGTCAAGACAAGAAAGGTGTAAAGCACATAAAATTGCCTCCAAGAAGGAAATAAAAGTTTACTTATGGCTTGTCCTGTAAACACCTATAGAGTTGGACAGCACAGTCAAAGAAAACTGCCTTCCTCACCAGAGTGGGGACTACACCAACCAAGAGTATTCTGAATTCTCTTCATTTGAAAGATGGAGAAAGGAAATATCCTAGAAAGATGTTTAGGGAGGAAATAGAGTCAAACAATAGCATCCCTCTCAGAGGCAGCCACAAAGAGACAACCAAACTTTGACACCAGCCACCCAGAAGAAATGGGTCACAGGAAGTGAACAACAGCAAACAGAAGAAAAATAAATTAAAAACTTGGATAACTTTTAAGCCCATCATTATTCCATAAAACTGAAAGGCACTGAAGTCTGGTCCAAAATATTCCAGAAATGAAAAAGGGAACTGTAATTTACTAGACTTTGCATTACCCAGTACACGATGACGACTGAATATTCCCCTCTGTCAAACAACACAGCTCATGATGTCAGCATCCCATCCAATGTGTCACACTATTCCTACAACACCTACACCATCCAACATGTCACACTATTCCTAAAACACCTACACCCAAATGCAGCTCTGGACACTGAGAAGAGCAGAGAGAGGCTCCATAACAGGCCAAAAGGCAGAGAAACTCCTGAGGATTCCAACATGGAGCAGCACCACCAGCTGGACAAGTAACACTTCAAAAGCAGGTAAAACAGAACAGGACAAGCACCAGATTCCCTGCTGACACTCAGTAATCTTCACGAAATGTTCCTTTTATTCCAAAAATCAACCACCAACCAAACACTTGAATTTCAGGTTTGGAAAAAAGAAGAGCAATTAATACAGCAAGTTTATATGGGGTTTGGTTCATGCTTTTCTTTATCAGCCAAGGATAAATATTTCAATCTCATTCACCAGAACAGTGACAATGTTCAGTGCAGCAGTAAGTCTCAGTGCACAGAAGGATTAGCCTGAGTGATTACAGGCAGCATGTAAAAGCATAAAAATGTTTTATAACCATATACAAACCCAGTGTTTTTTCTGCACACAACTCCACAAACATGACCTAGGAGTCAGGGTGCCCAACCTGGAGAGTACTAGTCAATTTACAGAAAGAACTGGGGGGTTTGGCCCATTCTTTAAATACTAGAAGCAAAGGATACCTTTAAAAAAGGATATAGACAACTATCACCCAAACGTCTCGTGCTCACAGTGTGCAAACCCTCCCCTCAGTTTCACAGCCACAATCACTGTCTTCAAGAAATGGACCACTTTGAACTTTTCTGGCAATCACAGCCCAGACCACCTAAGGCAATGAAATTCTCATACCTTTCATATGAACTCATGTGTGGGATTCCCAATCCTATCTTCTGATTCCACATTATATTCCCGAGCTAAAGGCACTGTTGGCTTCTAGAGCCGCCAGTGTTTCTCGCCTTCCAGCTGAAGGATAAACACCTGCAAAAGACCATAAATCCAAATCCATAAGGAAGTCATTCCTTTCACATTAAGTTTTAGATAGCTACAATTCAGAGAAATTGAAATTTGAACTAAGTTTTTTTGTCCCTATTTAGAGACAACAGACGGAGGAGTTGTGAAGTGGGATCTGTTTTATCCTAAGGCAGGCATTTGGAAATCCCTGTTTCTCTCCAGTCACTTCAGTAAGTGCTAGAGAACTAACCCAAAAGGAACATCTGCCACACAAATATCCAAAATTTCAGGTGAAAGAGGCTTATCCCCAACAGAGCATCAGAAACCTCTATAGGGTGCCCAATGGGGGGAGATGGCATGAGTTAGAAATGCTGGATGTGAGGCTGCTGAATAACAAGCATAAGGAAAATGAAACTCCAGGTGTATTTAATGGAAATGAAAATATTAAAAAGCAAAATATACATATAAGGATTGGATTTTTTGATTTGGTTTAAGTGGGATAATCCAATTTTTTCTTTATAACACAGTGTATATTTGTATGTTTCCTTTAGAAGCTGATTTAAAATGCATTTGGACCACAGAAATTCATCATATCAGTAACTTCTTAAAAACAGCAGGACCAACAAGCACAACCACCTGCTGTTACAGTCCAGCTGAAGAAAGAGCAAGTATTTAGTAAAGGAAAAAGGACTTGTAAATTCTTGGGGCCTGAATGAAGTGAAAATGAAAAAACAGGTGCTAGAAAGCTTCTGCAGCTGTGAAAACAAACTTCTCTTTTTATCTAATGGAAATACCAGGTCTGGAAAACCCAGTTTACATGATATTATGATTAGATATTACTATTAGTAAATTTTCAGCAAAAATATGTAAGAAAAACGACTACAAGGAAACACAAATTAAAAAAAAAAACATTTTCCTATAATGTTTAGTGGGGGGGAGGGTTAGAAGCACACACACACCAGCAAACACTGCCATCAGCAAAAGCCCATGCACAGTTTCACAGGCAAGGTTGTGCTGTCCTACCTCAACATCATCATAGGGAGGAGGAAGGCCCTGGGATCCCTGGGGAGTGATGTAAACATTGGACCCCACCAGAGACCCAAAGTAGCACTCCAGCTTCTCCTGAATCTTCCACAGCTCCTCCTGTAAAAAAAAAAGATGCTGTTACTTGCTGAAGAGCTCAGCCAAGCCCAGCCCACATCCTCCCCATGGCTTGGGAAGAATGATCCCATCAGGGACACAGAGGTTGGGAAGGAAGGTGCTCTGTACCAGTGTTTCTCCTGAAGGAGAGCACTGGAGATGCAAAGGGGATCTGCCATGAGAGTAATTGCTAAGCCAAAAAGTCTGGTGCCCCAACCTGTGTTTGTTCTCTTCCCTGTGCCATCTTTAGGCTGCACAACCAGACAGACAAGGCTGAACAGAGGAAAATAATCCCACAAACAGCAAAACACCAGAAGACAATAAGCACATGCAGGACCTGCATTCTCTCACCAGAGAGAACATACAAAGGTTAGAGACCTTTCACCAGTTACTCCAATCATTTGGGAACATTCAAAACCAAACTTGACTCATCCACACCCCACATGTGACAGACAAGGCACCGAAGGGAAACAGCAGAACGTGCCAAGTACCAGATTCACACAAGTGCAGCTTGGCCATTAAAGCTGACATCAGCCAGGAACACTATACCTGGCACTCAGCTTGTATTTGGGATCTTATTTGGGTCCACCTCACAATTAAATTGTGTTGACACCTTCAAGACTACTTGAATCAAAGCACCTCCAAGAATCCAAGTCCTTTACACAACTGTGCAGCACCACTGTCTCGTTCTCAAACTCAAGGACTGAGAACACTCCGCTAAAATGGGCTGGGACCTTTCCATTGTGCAATTCACTGGCAAGAACACTGGAAATATTTCACAGGGTTTCACACCTTACCCTCCATTAAAGGGAAGTGGCTCAAAAGCCACAAAGTTTGCACAAGGAAACAGTGGGGCAGAAGGGATAATTTAAGCACAGATGCCTAATCAGCAATTTTGTGCATTTGGGTTTTTTTCCAAACTTTTATGTGACAGAGCAAAATTTTAAAAAGAATATATTATTATACATATTATAGCATGAATCAGATTTTGCTCTTACTGCAGAGCAGTGAAACATGATGGACAGTGCAAAAGTATAAACTTTTGTGTTTTAATACAGCTCATGTAAAGATTTCAGCAGGTCATCAATGTCAACCACTTCCCCTGGGGACAGAGATGAAGCCATGTCTAGTGCAACTCAAGTAAAACACACCACATTATTAAGCCAGCATCAATTATATCCAGTGAAACAATCCCACCTTAAATCTCTGAGGCTGATGAAACTGTATTGTTGCCTTTTTCTGGTCAAAATCCTTCTTCAGCTGCATGTAATTCACTTTGCCTTCTTTATTTAAAACCTTCTTCTTTCCATTCACA